CAAAAAATAAAACAATATATAAAACAAAAAATAAAATAATAAATAAATAAAACAATAACTAAATAAATAAAACAATAAATAAATAAATGAGTAATGATGTTTAGGATACATTAATAGTAGATTAATTATTTGTTGTTTACGATGTTACTAATACACCTTCTATTAAATAGAGTTTCTTTCGGACATAAAAGAAGATATTTTGAAGAATGTTGGTAACATTGACTACCATAGTAGTCTTTTTTTTTGTCTTGTTTCTAGTACAAATATCTAAAAATTCCTAAATCAAGAAGAATCTTCTAGACAAGCAGAAAATATAGTCTTGTTTTTAGAAATAATGAGCCAAAATTAAGTGAGCTTCTCCGTAAAACAAGCAAAATAATCTGACAATGGGGTAAACTAAAATAATCATGAGTTTCCTTTTGATATAAGTCTATGTAACTTAACCTATTTGTTGTGTTTCCCCATCACATTTAAGCATTCTGCATTATTTCACCAATAACTCGTTGTTCATCAATCCATGAAAATAAATGCTTGAAATGCAATTCTGCTTTAATAACCTGAATACAGAAATGAACGGGCTTTAAACACACCAATAAAGACAAAAAATGCCTTAGTATTAAATAAATGTCATCAGAACGCACTGTAATTTACATGATGATAATTACTCCTCAATGAACTGTAATTCCTTTAATAATTTAACCCAATTAGCTACAACTGGGTGAAGCTTAACGGAGCTTGAGGCTTAAATCGCTTCAGGGAAAATTAATGAGAGAGAGAAACAGCAGATACAGGAATATATTACAGCTACATTCAAATAAACCTTTCAATACTTTTATATTCTTCTGAAACCAAAGTGTTTAACAGTCTTCAATAACAACACAAATTATAGCGAGTTATCGCTCAAAAGTAATGTTTGCATGTGTATTTAGGACATTTTGTCTTGAAATTCCGTCATTTAGTGTCTACTCTATCACACACACACACACACATTAATAAACTAAGCGGTGGCATCTGCTCATAGGAGTGAGTGTAGAATCGATAGTATAATTAGGAGCATCAGACGGCGTTTCTCTCGCTTATACAGCAGCGGCCGGATCAATGCAGTAATTAATGGTGTAAATAAAACACATAAGCAGCCAGAGAGTCGTTCAGGCCAGACACACACACACACACACACACACACACACACACACACACACACACACACACACACACACACACACACACACACACACACACACACACACACACACACACACACACACACACACACACACACACACACACACACACAGCTTAAGAGTTTGATTTCTGTCCCATTAAATGTAATCAATCATAATAAGCACTGCTTTGAAAGCGGCTTTGATTGCTGCTTCTGCCATTGGCTGAGAATCAGATAAGCTCCGCCCTAAAGGCATGCCATTGGCTGAGCTGCTGAAAGGCCTAATTTCAGTGAACTCAACAGTGAATACTTTACAGTTAATGACAAATAGTTCTTTGATAAAAATTAACTGAGGATTGAAGAGTGTATGTATATTTTCACAGTCAGTGCTTGTAAATAAAATAACATTAGTTTTTGAGCAAACACTGTATCCTGAAGAATTCAAATGCAACAAATAAAAGAATTATTGACTTTAATATGGTTATAAAATGTAAAAAAAGACCTGCCATAATAAAACAAACATGCCTTTCTCAAGAAGAAAAAATACTATAGGAAATACTGTGAAAATTATATATTATATATTATGTTAGCCTTACGTGTGCATGGAGCGGACGGCGGGTCCAGCGGCGTCCTGAAGTGATCGTCCTCACACACACACAGCACTGAACCCTCCTCTTCAGCTTTACTGTTAGCCGGACACGAGAAACACTCCTGCTGCCGGGAAGACATCTTATAGGTGCCTGGAGGACAAGCTGGACAAGCAGAAAACACACAGTCAGTGAGTCTGATACACACCAAACATGAATTAAACATTCAACAATCAAATCAAAATAAAAAATTCTAAATTCTAAATCAAAATTTAAAAATAGAAATATCTAAAATTTTATATTAAAAAAATTTAAATAAATAAATAAAATCGAAATATAAAATTTGAAATTTAAAATTCCACATTTATAAATTAAAAAAATAAAGCAAAATGAAAATTACAAATTCAAAAAGCGAAATATAAAATTCAACAATTAAAATCGAAGTTCAAAACTCAAAAATTAAAATATAAAATTCATCATTTAAAATAAAATTTGAAAATTCAGAAGTTTACATATATAATTCAACATTCAAAATTGAAAATCAAAATTCAATAAAATCAATAAATCAAAATAAAAAATAAAAATATACATTTAAAATTCAAAATTCAAAAATCAAAATAAAAAAATCAAAACAAAAATCATTCAAAATTCAGAAATCAAAATATAAAATTTTACATTAAAAATCAAAAATCAAAAATCTAAATTCGAAATTCAAAAATCTAAATAAAATTGAAAATCAAAATTCAACATTTAAAAATTAAAATTTAAAGTTAAAAAATAAAACTGCAAAATAAAATTCTAAATAAAAATATAAAATAAAATAAAAAATCTAAATATAAAATTTAACATTTAAAATATAAAATTCAACATTAACATGAAAATTCAAAAATCTTTTACCCCTGGTCAGGACTAGAACCTTGCTGTGAGGCAACAGTGCTAACCACTGGGCCACCGTACCACCCATCTAGGAAAGAAGGAGGTGGAAGGGGGGGTTCTTCAAAACGAAGATGGCTGTGATATGGAGCTGAGGGTATTTATAGTGGCTTAAGAATCGTCTGATTGGTGAATCATGAATCGGCTAATATGAGACCGAACGCAAGCAGTCATAATCACATGATCCTCTCGAAAAACACACCTTACTATAGTGATGGCATGAAGAGCAAACCACCGCACTGTACTTCAGCAATGCCACGAGGACACACACACACACACACACACACACACTATATTTCCCATAACTCCACATCAGACCGGCTGAATGCATACAGATCCATTTATCTATGATGGCCTCAGCGGGGGTCATTCAGAATAAAATAAGCTAAAGCAGTGATCTGATTGGCTGTATATACAGTCTAGTGCCGCGAGGATCTATAATGCAGATGGAGCTGAAAGTCTCAGCGGGCGTCCAGGTTGCAGAAAATCCTGCATGAAAGAAAAAGCCAAATATCTGGAGGGAAACAGACCTGTGGACGAGCTTTCATGCTAAAACTGTAGTTTAAGCAACAATTCACACTATTCACCACTGCCTTATGACCTGCCTATTATTAAAGTTGAGCTAATATGCAGAACTGACTCTGATGCGGGGCTGTCTATCAGCAGTGTGTGAATATCTCCAGCAGCCTCTAATGGTCAACATGAACTAATTGCATTGTTAATAATCAGACTTGATCAAATCAGTCTGCAGAAACACTGTGATTGACATTCTCCATTTGTACGCGTCATCAGAAGGGAAAAGCCCCGCCCACTAGTGGCCATCTCTCCATCTCATTAGCATAAACAGCAGCCCTGAGTGAGAAGCAGCCGTCTGTCCATTAGCCATTAGAGTGTTTGAGCTGCTGAAGATCATGTCAGCATAGACTGAGAGGATTATAGATGTGGAGTTTTAGATCAAGCACAAATAAACAGCGGAGTTTATTAACAAGGCTTAAATACACAAATGAACAACATATCTTCCAGAGTGAGAAAAAGGGCTCGCAAAATCACTCTGGACACCTCGCACCCAGCACACTTCCTGTTCCAACTGTTACCATCTGGTCGGTGCTTCAGAGCACCAAGCACAGGAAAAATTGCTTGTGTGTGTGAAGCACACTTGGCAATATAACTCTGATATTATACAGAGTTAATAATAAATTAAATAATGTTTGCAGTGTTGATTATGAAGAAGCTAAATCAGTTGAATATTCACACAGACAGAATAACATGCCAATCAGAATCCAGTATTTCTGTGCTGTGTAATAATATCAGATTTTGGGCATCATTTAAAGTCTAATGGAGAACAAACAATTCATTTGCATTTGCTCATTAATCACGCACTTTAATCAAAAATGACTTACAAATTAGAAAAATAGAAACAGAAGCAATTCATTAACAAGATAGGTACAGCGACAAATCTTATTTATAATGATCATAATAATAATTTAAAATAATAATAATAACAGTAATAATAATAATAACAAACAACAACGACAAACAACAACAATAAGTGTATAATAATAGCGATAATAATAATGTATAATAATATATAACAATGTATAATAATAATAATAATAATAATAACAATATTTATAACAACAACGTATAATAATAATAATGATAATAACAACAACAACAAAAATAATGTATAATATTAATAATAATAATAATATTAATAATAATGAAAATAATAAGTAAATAAATAAAAACTATGTATAATAATAATAATAATAATAGCATAAATAATATTAAAAACTATAATAATAATAAAAATAATAAAAATAAATATTAATGTATAATAATAATAATAATAATATTGTTAGTAATAATAATAATAATAACTAGAATTGTACATTTCCTAAAGGAAATGTGAATGGGGTTTGCGTGGCAAATCGATGGGGTACAAAATGGTACTAAACTGGGCAATAGCACTGGAAAAGTAAGAAATGGTGGTTGCTAGGATGTTGCTAGGCGGTTGCTAGGGTATCCTGAGTGGTTGCTAGGTGGCTGATAGGGTGTCCTGAGTGGTTGCTAGGTGGTTGCTAAGGTGTTGCTAGGTGGTTGCTAGGGTGTTCTAAGTGGTTGCTAGGTGGTTGCTAAGGTGTTGCTAGGCGGTTGCTAGGGTGTTCTAAGTGGTTGCTAGGTGGTTGCTAAGGTGTTGCTAGGCGGTTGCTAAGGTGTCCTGAGTGGTTGCTAGGTGGTTGCTAAGGTGTTGCTAGGCGGTTGCTAGGGTGTCCTGAGTGGTTGCTATGTGGTTGCTAAGGTGTTGCTAGGCGGTTGCTAGGGTGTTCTGAGTGGTTGCTAGGTGGTTGCTAGGCGGTTGCTAGGGTGTTCTGAGTGGTTGCTAGGTGGTTGCTAAGGTGTTGCTAGGCGGTTGCTAAGGTGTCCTAAGTGGTTGCTAGGTGGTTGCTAAGGTGTTACTAGGCGGTTGCTAGGGTGTCCTGAGTGGTTGCTAGGTGGCTGCTAGGCGGTTGCTAGGGTGTTCTGAGTGGTTGCTAGGTGGTTGCTAAGGTGTTGCTAGGCGGTTGCTAAGGTGTCCTAAGTGGTTGCTAGGTGGTTGCTAAGGTGTTGCTAGGTGGTTGCTAGGGTATTCTAAGTGGTTGCTAAGGCGTTGCTAGGCGGTTGCTAGGGTGTCCTAAGTGGTTGCTAGGTGGTTGCTAAGGTGTTGCTAGGCGGTTGCTAAGGTGTCCTAAGTGGTTGCTAGGTGGTTGCTAGGGTATTCTGAGTGGTTGCTAAGGCGTTGCTAGGCGGTTGCTAGGGTGTCCTGAGTGGTTGCTAGGCCCTTACTAAGGCATTACTAGGCGGTTGCTAGGTGGTTGCTAGGCGGTTGCTAGGGTAATTTGGGTGGTTGCTAGGCAGTTGCTAGGGTACCCAAGGTGGTTACTAGGCAAGCCTCACATACATGCCTGATGAAATATTTATACTTAGTGAGCATTTCTAGCAAGTTACAGTACATGGCTAGTCAATATTAGCATGTAGCTAGTCACTGCTAGCATGTGTAGCATATAGGAAGTTCCGTTTGCTAGCATGAGTCAAACGGCCAATCCCCAAGTCTCTACGATGTTCCGATGCTGAGATATAGCTGTTGATGAACGGTTGCTAGGGTACTCTCTTTTGTTGCTATGGGCGAGGTTACAGAGTGAACTTGAATGTGGTTGGCTGTCCAAGTCAAATGAGCCAACCCCCAAGTCAATAGGACACTGCCAAGCAAAGATATACATGTAGGCCAGTTATAATGGCAGTCTATGGGACCAATTTGGGGGCGTGGCTTATGAGATTCATTATCATATTGAGATGCTCATTGGTTGTCTGAGTCAGATGAGCCATCCCCCAAGCCAATAGGACACTGCTAAGCAAAGATATGCATGTAGGCCAGTTATAATGGCAGTCTATGGGACCAGTTTGGGGGCGTGGCTTGTGAGCTTCATTATCATAGTGAGATGCTGATTGGTTGTCTGAGTCAAATGAGCCCACCCCCGTGTCTCTATGACACTCCTATGTAATGTTATAGATGTGTGACCTTTATAATGGAAGTCAATGGGATCTGCAATGGGACATCCCACCCCATGTTAAGTCAATGGGGCACTTATTAGGGGTCTTTAAGTGGTTTGGGGGGGCGTGGCTTGTGAGCTTCAAAATCATAATGAGATGCTGATTGGTTGCCTGAGTCAAATGAGCCCACCCCCAAGTCTGTATGACACTGCTATGTACTGTGATTGACATGTGAGTCAAGAAATGAATGGGAGTCAATGGGCAATGTAAAGTCAATGGGGACCCCTTAAGGACGTCCTAG